TGCCTATATTGTCCTTTCGTTCCCTTATTTGCATTTAAATGCTTGAAAAAATAAAAAGTCCAGTGAAATTCAACAAACAAAAGCAGAAAAGGACTAAGACAAACCGCGACTGCTGAACAGCTGCGGTCTGCGGTCGGGGGCGGCCACTCGGGCACTGCTGGGCGCAGCCGCTGCTCCATTGTTGTTTGTCTGTTTAAATTCTCTTATTTTTTGGTTTTGTCTTTGTTTTATCTTTAATTGTTTTAAATATATAATTGTTTTAGATTCATAAACCCCCATTTCACACGGAAGACACAGCCAACCGCCGGTCTGCTCTGCGGCCGACTCGACACAACATGGCGAGGCTGAGGAGTAAACCTTAAACCCTATACCATAACTCCTACGCTCTAAACTCTAAACCCTAAACTCTAAGTGCCGAGCCTGCGTTGCCGCCCCCTAAGCTGGTGGCACAACACGGGTCCTCTCCTATGACGTTTTCGGTCCATGTAGAGCTTGGACGAAGCCGAGAGGGCCAGGGCTTCAAAACTCCAGACCCTAGACCTGGGCCTTCATCTGGTGGTTGAGTGTTTCCCAAAGTCTCCTGCAGCTCCTGCAACTGCACCTCTATCGGTTCCTTCGGGGGCGCGAGTTCATGAGCCCCTGGATCTAGGGTTTTGTGTCTACGGTTTACGATACTTTGTTCGGCTGTTTGTGCTGCAGAGACACCAGCCGCCCTGGTGCTGCTGCAGGCCTTCTTGCAGGCCTTCTTATGCTTGGCTTTCGCCCCAACAGGTATTTATAGGATGCGCCGCAGATGTCCCTAACTCATCTTTGTTTTGTTGTATACCGAGGTGAAATGTTTCTGCTTTGCTTTGTTGGTAAATGCTTATGATTCGTTTTGCTGTTTTCTTTTATTTGTTTGTGTTTCTTGCCGCTGCAACGGACTCTGCTGCTCTCCTCTCCTTCAAGACAACAATCAACAAGCCACTCCTGCAGCTGCAGCAGGTAAAGTGTCCCCTTCGTTTTCCTGTCGTCAAACTGTCGCCTCTCTATCCGTAAACTGTCTCTCTTATGTCTTTGTACTGTCTCCTTTCTCACATTGTACTGTCTCCCGTCTGTCATTGCACTATCTCCTTTCTGTCTACGAAGCGTCTTTTTGTGTTCGAACTGTCNTTTCTCTTTTCTATCGTTATACTGTCTCCTTTCTTATTAAACCGTCTCCCTGGTGTCTCATTTCTATCTACGGATGTATTCTTTCCGTCTATAGGGTGTCTCCTTGTTTTCACTTGACTGTCTCTTTTCTGTACCTGTTGTTATCTCTCTCCCTCCTTCTTTCGACGCAGGTTCGTCTACGTTTGCGTAGACGAACCCGCAGCAGAAGGTTTACTCTGAGGGTTTAGGGCTTAGGGCTTCGGATTTTTGTGGCTGCTCAGCTCGTGCTGTACAAGTGCAATATGTAGGAGAGGGGACAAGAGACACATCAGCTGCCTCCGCCACCCAGGCCCAAGGCGAGTCTTTACTTCAAGTGCTGCTCCCTTAGGGTTTAGGGTCTAGTTGCTTGGCGTTTTATCGCTTTTAATGTCTAGGGTTTCGGACTTACGATTGGTATTGCTCCTAGGGTTTAGGGTCTGGAGCCTTCAGCGCCTTTAGGATTAAATATGTATTATTTTATCGCCGCTAGGGTTTAGGGTTTAGGGTTCATGCTTTATTTTCTTTCTTTTCTGGTTTTACGTTTTCTAGGGTTTATCACTTAGGGTGTGTGTATCGGTTTTACGGTTTAGGGTTCAGGGCTTATGGCCTGCGCTTGTTTGTTTTTGTCCACTCAGATATACAGCTGTTGAGTGCCTTCGAAGCACAGACAACCCAGACGCATCTTGGGGCCCTGCAGGACCCTGCTGGCTATTGCAGCTCAGATGAGACTGCCTCCACGCATTTCTGTTTAACATTAAGGGAATATGCTGCTGCAGTCCTCGCCGCAGAGCAACTGGGTCAGCGTCCTGTTTCTCTTGCTGTTACTCCCGTTGCTGCTGCTGTTGTTGCTCTTGCTGTTGCTGTTCCTTCTGAGGTTACTGCTGCCGCTGCTGCAGAGTATAGAACGGCTTGAGGTGTGAATAGGGGCTAGAAAATATGTCCCCACTGACGGACTTAGCTGTGCGGGATTGAAGGAAGACAGTGCAAAAGGAGACAGCAACAGCAGCGACCTGCGAAGCCCCATACATTGGCAAAGCCCTTGTGGCCGGTGGCTGTCTGCATGCGTATTATCTGCTGCGTTGCAGACGGGGCCAAGTGCAGCTACATGACTCTACAGCAACGAAAAGCAGAGGAAAAAGAAATGAAGAAGGCAAAAAAGAAAGGGAAGAAGCAGAAAAACGAAAAGACAGAGCCTGAAAGCAAAGCAAAACCCAGGAGGAAGAAGTTCCCTGCAGGTAGGGGGACGCGTTGAAGCACACGAGCTAAACCATGTTATGCTGCACTTGCTGCTGCTGCTTTTGCTGCTGCTGCTGCTTCAGCTACTGCATAGGTTTAACCTAGGCGGTTGGAGCAGCTGGGCTGGTGCAGCAGCTGCTGCGTTTGAGGCAGTTTATGGTTATAGATTGAGCGGCAAGGGAGGGAGAGAATGGTCAGTGATTTGTCCTTGTTGCTTGTCTCTTCAAGCTGTACGTACACCCAAGCTTTCTTTCTGCTTTTGTAATGCAGGTTTGATATCTGCTGCAGCAGCACGACATGGAGAAGCGAGCGGTGGAACAAACTCAGCAGCAGCAGCATCACCGAGCTTGCTGCAGCTGCCGTCCCTGAGCGACCAAGCAGCTCATCAAGAGGGCCTAGCTAAGCAATATGCAGAGCAAGTGCAAATGGCGAGACAAAACGCTCAAGAGACAGGTCAGCCCCGACCGAAACCCTAAACCCTAAACGAGTGTTTGCGGCTTTCCTGCACTCACACCCCGCACTTGTGCCTACAACCCTAAACCCCTAAACATCTGGCCAAAATGCCGCAACTCACGAGCAAGAGGTAGACGGGTGAAGCCGAACGCAAACCCTAAATGCTAAACCGTCGCTCCGGTGTATCAATGCGTTTCAGAAGAGGGATCAGCCGCCACCCAAGCAGCCATGAAGATCTTTGATGGTACGTTTCCCTGTTGCTTCGGCTGCAGCAAAGGCTGCTGCATCCAGCATGCATGCATGCATNGCATGCATGCATGCATCAGTGCATGCATGCTGTGGCTGTAGATGACTTGGGTTAATCTGACAACTGTTGGGTGTTTACATTTGAAGTGTTTTGTGCCTCTGTCTTCATTGCTGCAGCTGCTCTCTACATTCAGGCGGGAAGTAAGGCGAAGCCTTCAGCGGCTGCTGCTGCAGCGGTTGCAGCACGCGACAGCAGCACCCGCTGGTGCTGTACGGTGCTTTGCTCAAATTCCCTCAGCTTGTTGCCCGTAGATTAGCCTGTGTTGTGTCCCGCTGCCCATGCATGCATCTGCTGCTGCTATTCATGCTGCTATTGCTGCTACCGTTCCTTCTGGTGTTGTGGCTCAGCACTGCTGCTGACGGGTATGGCGAAGGAGCTGCTGAGTGGGATAATGGCAGCAGCAGCTGCTGCTCCTGACGGGGTCTCTGTCGAGCTAGACCCCGGGGAGTTGGAGGGGTCTTTACGTTCTGTGTTAGTGCAGGGAAGTTCATATGCACAGCCTCTGTCTGTCTTTTGTGTTGCTATAATTGAGAAGGCGGTAAGCAGCTTAAATACAAAAACAAAGACAGCAGCAGACGCAAAGACAGAAGCTCTCCTTGCCCTTAATGATCTTCATACAACAGTTACTACAGCAGCAAAAACAAAAGCAGAATTCACTGCAGTACATCTGCGTGCAACTTCAGCAGCAATCAATCAAATGGTATATAAAGCAGCAGCAGCTGCACCTCCTGCTGCACTCCCAGAAAACATGGCGCAGCAAGTCATCGAACTTGTACTTTCTATCATTGATGGTAAGCTCCTGCTGCTGCTGCTGTGTCGAGCTGCTGCCGCTTATTCAAAGAACTGTTGCTGATGTTGATTGCTTGACGAGCTTCTGTTGCAGCAAGCTGCTGCTGCTGCAAAGAGCTGATGCTGCTGTAACGACCTGCTGCCGCTGCAACGGGCTGCCGCTGCTACAACGAGCTGGTGCTGGGCTTTAAAGCGACTCAGCGCTCCCTTGGGCTTTGGATAAGCAGCGTGCTGCTGCTGGGCTGCTGCAGCACCTTATATCTAGCTTATTGTGCTCATGTGCTGTGTGCTGCTTACAGACCCAAGCAAAGTAACAGGTAAGGAGACATGGGTACTATCTCATCGGCGTCAGTGTGTTGTCGCGACACTTAGGGGGACAAACAAGTTGCATCCTATGACGAGCTGCTGCTAATTCAAAGAGCCAGTGCAGCTGCTGCAACGAGCTGCTACTGCCGCTGCACCTCGGCACTGCTGATTTAAAGTACTGTTGCTGCACCGCTTGCTGATGGCGTCTACCGTTGTCTCCTCCTGTCGCGGTGTCTGTCTCTTCAGTTGTTCGTTACACTAGGTCATCTCAACCCCAGAGATCGGAAGGGGCTGTGGGGGCCCAGCTGTCCCTGGGAACCCGCGAGCAGCCAATTGCTATCCCTGCTGCACCACACGTCGATCTCAGCAGCAAAACGCCGGTGGTGGTCCCTCCGCTGCCCTCGGTCATTGTGCCCCAAGGATCCACCGAAGTCTCCCTTTCAAAAGAAGGAGCGGCTGCTGCTGCTGCTGCAGCCGCTACAGGTGCTGCTAGGAGCAGCCAGGGAGGCGGTGGGGAGGGGGCTGCTGCATACGAAGCAGCAGGCAGCAGCGGAGGCATGGCTGCTGGCGTGTCTCCTGCGGGGGGGCCTGTGGTGTCTCCGTACCTTGCGGGGACTGCTGCCCCTTCTAGAGGAGCGACAATCTACCCCCACATCTCTGGAGTCCCCAGCAGCAGTTCTCATATTAGCGGCAGCAGCAGCGGCACCAGCGGCAGTATGCACAGTCCGCAAGGGCCCCCAACAGCGGTGCATCTGATGCGCTTCGGAGAGGATCCACGGGCCGCAGGGGGGGGCCAAAGTGGGCCCTATGGGGAGCCCCAAGGGGGGCCCCAGGGTTCTGTTGCAATCTCTGGGGGACCCTTTGCTACCTCTCATGGCATTAATAGCGAATTCACTGGACAGGGGGGCCCCCAACTCCCCCCGTCCCGCGGCGTTCAAGTCGTGCACGTGGGCCCTGGGGGCCCCTCCCCTCCAGACACCTTAGGAGGGAGGGCCCCTCAACAAGGTGTAGGCACGCTCTACGGAGCAGCAGCAATGGGAGCAACAGCAGCAGGAATGGGTGCAGGGGCTGCAACCGCAGTTCACCGCGTGCGTTTTGCAGATGGGTCAGGGCAGCAACTGCAGCAACAGCAACAACAGCAGCAGCAGCAGCAACAGCTACTAACAACTCCTTCTGGGGGCCAAACAACCTCAACCAGCTTTAGCTCCCCGCTTCTGTCTCCAGAAGGAGATCCCACTGGCATCCATGTCTACCGGACTTCTGTACCTGCGGGCCCTCAGGAAGCCCCAGGCCTGCAGGTTTCCTGGGGCCCCGGGGGAGCCCAGGGGCCCCTTCGTGGGCAGGAGGGCGGCGCTGTTTGGGGTTTAGAGAGCGGCATGCGGGGGCGGGGCCAGGGAGATGGAGAGGTCCGAGTAAGGAGCTGGTCTGAGCCCGGGTTGGGGACAATCGATGCTGCACAGCTCTCTGTTCCGGGCTTCACTGCCAGCGCCGTACCTCTTAGCAGTCTGCCCTTCTTTGCAACGCTAGGCAACAGCCCCAGAATCGGCCCCAGGTTCCACGGGGCACAGGCGGTAAGCCGAGATGTAATGATGCATGAAGACAAAGCTAGCTCACAAGCCACACCTAGCTAAAAGGCGCACCTAGCTAGAAGGCAAAGCTAAGAAGGCACAGCTACCTGATAAAGACTAGCTAGCTGAGAAGGATTAGTTAGCTATAGAGGCTTACCTCGATGTGATGGCTTCACTATCTGGTGAGTCCTCGCTAGCTGGGAATATGTCGCTAGCGAGGAGTTGCGGCTAGCTCTGGACTTATAGGTAGCTGAGGACCAATAGCTAGCTGAGGGCGTACATCTAGCTGAGGTCTTATAGCTAACTGAGGACTTATAGCTAGCTGAGGACTTGGCCCCTCTGCATTGTGTTGTGTGTTTTCGTTTTTGTTTTTCTGCTGTCTGCTTAGGATTATGCGTTGGGTAACTTGGGTACTCGCGACGACATCTGCGTGACAGAGGCAATGCTGTTGCCGTGGGGAGCCCGCACCAGCAGCTCGGGGCCACAAGGGGGACCCCAAGGCGGCTTCGTTGACGGGCCCCCCCAGTCTCTGGGAGCCCTCGCTGCCTCAGCTGTGGAGCGATGGGCCCTCCGCAAAGTCCACGAAGCAACGCAACACTCTGTGACCCTCTTTCGTGACAGCAGCAGTATCAAGACCCATGTTGATAATATCTGTGAGGCAAATGGAACACGCAAACAAAAAACAAATAGACAGATAGGCAGACCGACAGAAATGCAGACAGATATTGCAAACAAAGAAAGAAAGAAACAAACAACAGACAGACAGATAAACGCACACGCAAACAAACAAACAAACAGCCAGACAAACACACAGACAACCAGACAAAAGGACACTCGCCTGAGTGCAGGCAGCAGGTGCTGCGGCCCGTCCCGCTTGTGCTGCTCCCAGCTTAGCCTGTAGTAGGTGGAGCTTCACTGTGCTGCTGCAGCTGCTGCAGCTGCTGTATCAGTAGCAAAAGCTATTGCATACGTTGTTTCTTTGTGTCTGTGCAGTCGTTGTGTATTCGTGATTGTCTCCTTTTGTATGTTTGGTGTTTGGTTTGCTTCTGCTGCAGTACGGAGACACCTGGCACAGCTGCAGCAGGTAGCTTCTCCTGCTCCTTCTTTTAATTCTCTTACTAGCAGCGGCTGCAAGTCTTTTTCTGATGACGCGAGAAGGGCATTCTTTGAACACTTCTCCTCACATCGGGTCTTTGAATTTGTCAAGAACAACCCAACAGCAAACGCCAGACTCACGATACGCGCGCAACAACTGCAGGCACACGGTCAGCCGATGGTCTAGGATTTAGGCTGTATGGTTTAGGGTTTGATATTTAGGGAGTAGGGTTTATAGGCTAAGGTTTAGGGTCTAGAGTTTGGGCAGGTATAGTGTTTAGGGTAGAGGTTTTAGGGTTAACTATCTACAGTCTAGAGTCTAGGGTTTAGGGTTTAGAGTCTACGATTTAGGGTTTAGGGTTTGGGGCTTGCTAGCTGCGCTGTGTCTCAGGGGTTATTCCTGCAATGCCACTGGCAGTGGACAGATTGCTGAACGAAGAACTCCGAAAGATTCAAAACAGTGTGCACTCAGGCAAGCGTCGTTTGGTTGTTGGTTTATTTGTTCGTTTGTTTGTCTGTCTCTTTGTTTAGTTGCTTGTTTCTTTGTTTGTTTACTTGCCTATTTGTCTGTCTATC